CTAAAATGTATAGGGAAATTAAGAATAGACAAGACAGTTTTTAAAAATAAAATAAAAGAGCAAATTGGAGATATTGTCCTTCCAAATATGAAGACTTATAAAGCTATAGTAACTAAGATGCATGAAATTGAGACAAGAAAGACAGAGAAGTCAAAGCTAGACTACACATACAAGAAAGCCTCATGTTGACAGATGAGGCACTGCAGATCAGTCATTAAAGGACGGCCTATCAATAATTGGTGCTGGGATAATTTGTAATACATCTGGGTGGAATGACTCAATATTGTAACTTGTTGATTCTACCCAAATTATTCTATAAATTTAATGCAATTTTAATTAAGATTCTAATAGGAATATGCAGGCATGTTTTTCTTAAAGAATACACATATTCACACACACACCCATATATGCATACACACCCTCCAAACTGTAAAGGAAAAGACTGATAAATTTAGCTATATGAAAATTTAAAATGTCTTTACAATAAAAGTAAATATAAATAAAATATGGTGGGGTGTGATGGTTCACACCTGTAATCCCAGCACTTTGGGAGGCCGAGGTGGGTGGAGCTCAGGAGTTTGAGACCAGCCTGGCCAACATGGTAAAACCCCGTCTCTGCTAAAAATATAAAAATTAGCCTGGTATGGTGGCACACACCTGTAATCCCAGCTACTTGGGTGGCTGAGGCATGAGAATCGCTTAAACCCGGGAGGTACAGGTTGCAGTGAACTGAGATTGCACCACTACACTCCCGCCAGGATGACAGAGTGAGACTCTGTCCAAAAAAAGAAAAAACTAAAATAAGAAAAAATAAAAATATATATACAAATAAAATAGACCACAAAAATTGGAAGAAAATACTTAATATACATAAATAAATGATTGCTGTATAAAGTAAATAGAAATCCTGCAATCAATAGTAAAAGATAAGCAACAAATAAAAAACTATACAAAACATAAAAACAGAGGATAAAAACAAAAAAATAAATATATTAAAAGATATTCAACCTCATTATTAACCAGGGAAATGAAAATTACAACAATAAAAGTCCATTGCAGCCATCATATTGGTAAAAATTTTAAAGGCTGATCTAACAAAATGTTTACTACTTGGTCATTAAATGTCACATACTCTCCTATAATCTCTACTGGATCACATAAAAAAATCTAAATAGCAAAGAGTAAAAATACTGCACTTTCAGGATGCAGAGGTAAATTAATCAGCTTCTATGATTTCATTATTAAGAAGAAATGATAAAATGTTAAACCAACTGTCCAACTAAGAAAGTTTCCAACAGGAAAACAGAAAAAACAAAATAATGAAAAAATAATGCACAATCTAGTAATTGCCACATAGACAGACAAAATTGATAAATCCAAAGATAGTTGGAAGGAGAGGGGAAAACCAATAATAAAATCATAAAATCAGTTATAAAATCTGAAAATTTCAATACAAAAAAGAAAAGCTCAAAAGAATAAAATTAGAAATGAAAAAAGGGATATATCTGAATATTTTTTAATCCTAATGAGGTAAATTGGTTTCTTAGAAAATAAAAATTGCCGAAACAGACTTAAGAAGTATTAATATTACAAGCAAGAATAAACCAAACGAGTGTTATTAAAGAACTATCTCCAAAAATAGTTCTAGGGCCAATGAATATTACTGAAAAGTGCAGGCAGACTTTCACAGACTTAATATTTTCCATGCTATATAAACTGTTTAAGGACTGAAATGCTATCCAACCCATTTGAGACAGCTAGCAATAATCCTGATATAAGATAAACATAGCAGAGTTTATAAAGATAAATCTCAGATTATTGAAGGTGCATTATTAATCAGATGTGTCTATTCTGTTGGAAAAGAATAAATCTATCTGTGTGAGTTAATAGAAATATGAATGCATGAAGTTGATGGATTCACAGGAATATGTATAAGCCATCAAAGCCTTGTAATGAAAAGTCAAAATTAGGAGACAGAATACATCAAATATTTACGTTCTTGCAGCCATAAAAAATGAAGTGAGCAAAAAGCACAGAAAGACTTCACTAAATGAGACTGAAAGAGGTTGAAAGGGCAATAACAAATGCTGGAGAAGATGTGGAGAAAAGGGAACCCTTGTACACTGTTGGTGGAGATGTAAATTAGTACAACCACTATGGAGAACAGTTCGGAGGTTCCTCAAAAAATTAAAAATAGAGCTACCACGATAGTCAGCAATCCCACTCCTAGGTATATACTCAAAAGAAAGGAAAATATTGAAGAGCTATCTGCACTCCCATGTTTATTGCAACACTATTCACAATAGCCAAGATTTGGAAGCAACCTAAATGTTCATCAACAGATGAATGGATAAAGAAAATGTGGTACATATGCACCACAGAGTGCTATTCCGCCCTAAAAAAGAATAAGAACTTGCATTTTGCAACAACATGGATGAAAATGAAGGTCATTATGTTAAGTAAAGTAAGCCAAGTACAGAAAGACCAACTTTGCATGTTCTCACTTATTTGTGGGAGCTGCAAATTAAAGCAACTGAGGCCAGGCACATTGGCACAGGCCTGTAATCCCAGCACTTTGAAAGGCCAAGGCAAGCTGATCAGTTGAGCTCAGCATCTCGAGACCCGCCTGGGCAACATAATGAGAGCCTGTCTCTACTTTAAAATAATAAATAAACAAAACAATTGAACTCATGGAGATAGAAAGTAGAAGGATGGCTACCAGAGGCTGTGAAAAGTAGTGTGGGCAGGTGGGGCAGGGGAGTGGGGATGGTTAATGCATACAAAAAATAGTAGGAAAGAATGAATAAGACCTAGTTTTTGCTAGCACAACAGGGTGACTACAGTGAAAAAAATTTAATTGTACATTTTAAAATAACTAAAAGAGTATAATTGCATTGTTTGTAATACAAAGGATGAATGTTTCAGTGGATGTATGCTCTATTTACTCTGATGCGATCATTACACATTGCATGCCTGTGTCAAAATAATCTCATGTAACCCATAAATATATACTCACAAATTTTTTTTTTTAATTTTTAAGAGGTTGAAACACATTTATATCACTCCTGGGGCCTTTCAGTAGCCTCCTACCCCAAGTTGATGATAATATCATTAGAAAAACAGCATATGCAAATGAAGTCAGTGGTAAATGAGAGATGGAGTCACATGGGTTCAAACTGTCTTGAATCACTCTCTGAGGCTATCACCATGGTGGTACCCACTCATAAGGGCTTTTAGTAGAGCAGAGTCCATAGACAACTATCACACTAGTTAAGGCTGGTGGATCACATGGAATGCATAAACAAAACTGGTGATGAAATTTTACACCAATGATGAAACTGTGCATAGGGTTCAGAGGGTGTGGGGAAACGGAAATAGGCGAGGGAAAGATTTACAGAAGAAGTGATGTTTGCACAGACTCTGTTTCTGCTCATCTGCTTCAATTTCACCTCAAAGTTGTTCTGTCTTTAACCTTCACCCTAGTTTTGTTTGGTTGGTTATCAGTATTTTGTTTAATTGATTGTTTAAAGAAGGCATTATAATTTGCTTACTATTTCCCAATGCCAATATATTTCTGTAGAGTTTTATTGCTTATTTTTTGAGCACTGCACTCACATGAAAAAGAAAAATGTATCTTCTTAGGACTGATTCTTACAAATTTGAGATAGCTAGTTTATAACTTACATGGTCAAGCCCTGCTAGAAATATCTTACAAAATGTTTGACACAGAAGCTTGGCCAAGCTGTGAAAAATCTCTCAAAGTAGTTAACACACTTCTTGAGTATTACTGGAGACTTGATAAACTAAGAAAAGAATTCTGACCAGGTATCACAAGAAATTTGGATTGGAGACTTCTAAGAATAAGCGTGTATTATTATGGCTATTTTCTCAATATCGTGTTGATTAATAGTTCTTCCCTTTGCAGACAGAGTAGAAAATACCACCAAGTAAAGATTTTAGCCCTGCTTTAGTTTAATTCATCTCATATTCCTTTATTTCTATCCTTCCTCCCACATCTTTCCTTCTCAGGTCTGGTTCCCTATATGCGGAGCTTCAACCCCCAGAGGATATTTAACCTTGTCTCCCCCTCCACACTGCTGCATTCCCCACCACGTCTCTTTCCCTCTCTTTCCATCCACCTGAAGAGATGAGAGCATATACAGAAAGTAGCTCCCAGCTGTAGCTCAATCATTAAACACCAAGAGAAAGGAAAATGAACTCTGCCAGACTTAGATCAATTAGAAGATTCCTTTGTAACCTAAATACATTTTTTAAAGTTTATAATCAAATTATGCAGTCATTTGCAGTTTGGGGTAAAACAACACCTTCATTTTCATGGCCCTCTCCCTTATTCAAGATGACATCAGCCGCATATTAGTTTTACCTTGTATGCATTTCTCAATAGTAAAACTATTAGTCAGTAGCATCTGCATGTACATGGATACAGTGGGTGTTTTTTAGTAATTATAAGGTAATTACTTCCTATCCTTAAATAATTGTCATTTCCACAACAAAATAGGATAACCAACAATACAGTGTACATAAAACAACTGCCATCTCTCTAAGACACCAGAATAGCCTGTTAATCAAGGAAAGCTAAATTTTCTAAATCTACTGCAGTAAGGGAGGCCACACTTTGACAGAAGCTTGGCAGTCTCAGAAGGAGAAGGTTTGGGGTGATATTTATAGGACTTAGGGAGTCCGAGCAAAAATGGTTTAAAACAGGTCTTTGGAGGCAGGGAACTGTTTGGGGGATTGGGTAAAGTGTTTGACCTAATTGTTTAGAGTCGATGCTAGAGTGACCGACTTTTACTGATTTCCTAGGACTTTCCCAATTTTAGCACTAAAAATCCTCCAACTGGAGAATCTTTACAGTCCTGGGCAAACTGGGACCACTGGTCACCCTAATTAGCGGACACACCGTCGCAAGACTGCGGGATAATTTGAGCAGTAGTACCAGATGCAACTGACAGAACATTGTAGCCCATATTTCCAAGGCTGGACAAAAGGTTTATTGAAGCATTCACATTTACAGCCTCTATTTGACAAAATACTGTATGCCTATGTGCGTTCAACTCACATCATAATAATAAAATTGAACTTTAAAAATATTTTTATTGCAGTAAGGTATATAAAACACGAATTCGACATTTTAACTATTTCTATGCATACAAGTGAGTAGTATTAATTGCATTCACAATGTTGAGCGACCATCATCAATTTTTTTAAAGGACGTTTATATCCACTCATCCATCAATGTAGTAGGCACTGTCCCAGGCGCTAGGGATTCCATGTAGAGCAAAAAACATCACGGTCCATGCCTTCACATGGCCTTCATGGATCACCACGGGTGCTCTTTTTCCCCCGAGTCTTTATGTACTTGGGAAAAGTGGCAGGGTTGAAAGGTGTAATGGGTACACGGCAGAGGTCAGAGAGGCTCCCACCCAGCCCGGCGTCTGGAAGCACTTGGGGTAGTGGCCGCTCCTGGACCCCCTATTCCGGGGTCGGCGGTGGGCAGGCAGGCCCTGGGCCCGGTGGAGGAGGCGGGACTGGAGGGGGCGGGGCCTGTGCGGGAGGCGGGAGGTGGGCGTGCCCGGGGCGGGGCTGTACCGGGCGCTCGGCGGAAGAGCCTTTGATGGGGACGGCCTGGAAAGTGCCTGGGCCTGCGCTGGACGCCTCCCGGGCCCCGGCTTCTGTTTCCGCCGGCTCCATGGCGGTGGCTGCCTGACTGGAAGCCCGAGTGGGATGCGGCTGACGCGGAAGCGGCTCTGCTCATTTCTCATCGCCCTGTACTGCCTATTCTCCCTCTACGCTGCCTACCACGTCTTCTTCGGGCGCCGCCGACAGGCGCCGGCGGGGTCCCCGCGGGGCCTCAGGAAGGGGGCGGTGGCCCCCGCGCGGGAGAGACGCGGCCGAGGTAGGACTGGGGCTGCAGCTTCCCTCCGGCTCTGAGCGCCTGGCTAGGGGCTGCTGAGCGGCAGGGGCCGGGTTCCCGCACCCCGCTCTCAAGTCCGGGGTTACCCGCGGGGCCTGAGACGCGCTTTGCCTCCTACAGCCCCTCGAGCTAGCCCTTGGCTCGGGATTGGAGACTGGCCCTTAATTCTTACCCAGATCTCACACGCTGTCCCCGCTCCCCATCCCAGAGGTTGACAGGCGCGAACGCCTTTCAAACACGTGTTAAAATGCAAGACGTCGTCTCAAATGCCAGAGATTTGCGGGAGTGCTCCTTGAAGGCCTCAAAATCGCCGCAAGGTCTAAGACATCCGTTTCCATATTGAAACAAAGCCGTCTAGGCCGGTCGCGGTGGCTCAAGCCTGTAATCCCAGCACTTTGGGAGGCCGAGGCGGGCGGATCACAAGGTCAGCAGATCGAGACCATCCTGGCTAACACCGTGAAACCCCGCCTCTACTAAAAAAATACAAAAACTAGCCGGGCGAGGTGGCGGGCGCCTGTAGTCCCAGCTACTTGGGAGGCTGAGGCAGGAGAATGGCGTGAACCCGGGGAGCGGAGCTTGCAGTGAGCCAAGATCGCGCCACTGCACTCCAGCCTGGGGCACAGAGCAAGACTCCGTCTCAAAAACAAAAAAAACTCAAAGCCCTCTAATCCTGCAGTGACCGTAAGGCAGGCTTTACCTCCAAATTCTGGTCCCCTGTCCGGTGTTTTAATTTATGTTAAGATCAGACTCAGCTTTCTCTCTCCCTTTATTCAGAATTTTGCACGATAGTATCTAAGACTGGTGAACACTACACTCTGAAGTCAGTTTTTTGTGCATAGGTTACCTGTATACAATAGATAAAAAGAATTGCAGAAGTTAAACCTGTAACTTAATACATATTATCCTGTTATTTTTAAAGGTTTTGTTTTGGGGAAGAGAATTTTCCTGTTTCAAGTTAGCATTTTATTTCTAAGACCTTTCAGAGTAAAAAAAGTTCAGTTAAAAAAATTGCCGATAGTTTCTTTTTTGTTATCATTGTGTATAACCAGTTTAAATTCAGTTGCTCTATCTCTCAAAAATTAAAGTTAGGATGAAATTAGAACTAACACTTAATTTAAATGATTTGAATTTACCTACAGCTGCAATAACACCTAACTGGTAAACACTGTTACTCTTTTTAAAACAGAACAGTTCACTTTGGAAAGTGAAGAATGGAATCCTTGGGAAGGAGATGAAAAAAATGAGCAACAATACAGATTTAAAACTAGCCTTCAAGTATTAAATAAATCCACGAAAGGAAAAACAGACCTCAGTGTACAAATCTGGGGCAAAGCTGCCATTGGTAAGTTAATATGTAGAAGGAAGACATGTAAAAAGCATTGTAAAATGTACTTTATTGATATGAAATTCATTTTAATATAATTTATTTCATAACTTGTTAATTAAGGCATCATGATATATTTTTTCACTTTTTGTCAGTAATTCCTTTCTCCTTCCAATTAGACAACATCTGTTTGTAAATGTACACACATACATGTTCCACTGTTGGTCTTTAGCAGAGCACAGCTTCATTTATCGATACATTGAGTAGGCTGTATAGTGTCATTAGATTGCAAAACATATGTCAACTGAATTTTCATGAATCTGTGTATTTTTTGGACACTTGATACACAAATATAAGATGTGGCCCCTGGCCTTGAGGGCCAAACACATTTGGAAAACACTGAAGAGTACAAAGTTAAGGTTCTTCATTGCAGGCCTTTCTCAAGAGCCTTTAATATGACAGTGTTCATTGTATCAGCAAAGGAATATATTATAGTATGTAGTTGATTAAACTTGATTGCACACAGGCGTTTTTGCTGTGAATATCATGAGAGTGTAGTGTTCTAAGATATATATTATGCTCAATTAGAGAATGGGGCTGTGAGGGTTCAAACAGTCACAAAGAATTTAGTGACTTACCACTTTATTTGGCCTTTGAACATGAGCTGGGTTTGTGTACAATAAGGGATATGGATAGAAAGTACCAGATGAGAGGAAAATGTACAGAGGATAGTCCTCTGCTCACGGTATTTCATAAATTCGTTCATACTTACATACAAGTATACATCCTGGAAGATTACTACCAGTATCTAAATTTCAAGCACCTGAAACCAGGTCTTCAGTCATCAAGTTCTGACCATTATTTTTTAAATAAAGTCCCTAATACTGATTTCTTCTTTTAAATCCCAGATTTTCATTTCCAGACTTCTGTCTTTTCAATCTGATAAGCGCAAAGTGGCCAAGTGAATTTCATCAAATGCTACCTTTTTTTTTTTTTTTTTTTTTTTAATCACCTCTGCTGGCAGGAAAAATGCTACTTTCATCAGCCTATTCTCTAGGCACAGTTATGAAATACCGTTATAGACATTCCCATTCAAAAAGGGAAAAAAATTGAAGTGAAAAAGTGTCACTGGTCCAAGCAATTTTGAAATCTAAATTTCGTCTGAATGGTCAGCTCCATTTTATTATATTGCAGGCCTAGGAATAATCTATGACTTGTACAGCTTTGCCCTCTGGCATTTCAGCCATACTCTTGAAGTCATCTTTTCCTTTTTCATAAAAAGTAACACAAGTTTGCAGCTTAGTAACTTTATCAGCCTGTTGACAGCTGGTAAAATTTTCAGAGCCCATCAGCCTTCTTTCATTGTGACCTCTTTCTGTCTTTTTTAGTCCAAGCTGGCAGTGTTTCTGCTCATATAACATTCTGAAGAACCTTGTGGGCCTCCTGTGTATGTCACAGGATTCCCTCCATTAGATGGGAAGCTCCTCTGCAGATCTTTTCTGAGTAATCCCATCTCCATTTCTGGCTTCTGCTGAGATAGCTGAGGAGACCTGTAAGTCACATGTGTAATCTCTTCAAAGAGCCTTTTGTGTGAATGAATATTCAGATCTTCTGTTCCTTCTGAGACACTAGCAAAAGGTTGTGCAGCCACATCCTTGGTCTTCTTTCTGGAACACCCTTTGCAGACAGTAAATCTAATTTTTCACCTCTTTTGCAATCTTAATGGTCTGAGAATTTCCCAAATCATCAAATTCTGGTTCCCTTTTGCTTAACAGTTTTTCCTTCTATCTCTTTCTTCTTATATTTCATTAATCACCAAGAAGAAACCAGTCCACACCTTTCACTTTGCTTGGAACCCTCCAGCTAATTATTGAAGTTTATCACAAGTTCTGCTTTCCATGTAACTGCAGGATACAATCCAACTAAGCTTTTTACTGTTATGTAACAAGGATCCTCATCCTTCCAGTTTCTAATAACACATTCCTGATTTTATTCTGAGCTCTCACCAACAATTTATTTAATATACATATTCTAGGAGTGATGTCTCATGCCTGTAATCGAGCGCTTTGGGAGGCTGAGGCAGGTGGATCACTTGAGGCCAGGAGTTCAAGACCAGCCTGGCCATCATGGTGAAACCCCATCTCTACCAAAAATACAAAAATTAGCCAGACATTGTGGCACATGCCTGTAATCCCAGCTACTCAGGAGGCTGAGGCAGGAGAATTGCTTGAACCCGGGAGGTGGAGGTTGCGGTGAGCCAAGATCATGCCACCTTATTCCAGCCTGGGCTACAGAGTGAGACTCTGTCTCTAAATAAATAAATAAATAAATAATTTTTAAAAATTGCATATTCTTACCAACAATCTGCTTATGATGATTTAGATATCCTCTAAGACAATACAGGTTTTCTCTACTCTGCCTCACTTTGAGTCTTCACTAGCTGAGTCATTAACATCCATATTTCTGTCTGCAGGTTATTCAAGGCAATCTAATCTAGGCTTTTTAAAATCATGTCCTCACAATTCTCTCAGCCTTTACCCATTACCCAATTTCAGAGCCACTTCCACATTTTTAAGTATTTGTTACAGTAGCACCCCATTTCCAGGTACCATAATCTTAACTGTATAATCCATAGCATCCTATTGCAACCGTAACAAATTACCACAAATTTAGTATCTTACTTTTCTGAAGGCAGAACTCTAAAATGTGTGGGGGCTGTGTTACTTTTGGAGGCTCTAGAGGAGAACCTGTTTCCTTACCGTTGAGAGTTTCTAGGGGCTACCCGTATTCCTTCATTTATGGCCCCACATCACTCTGACCTCTGCTTCCATCTTTATATATCCCTTGCCTCACTCTGACCCTCCTGCCTCCCTTGTGTGAGGACTCTTGAGATTACATAGGGCCCACCTAGATAATCTATAATAATCTCTTCACCTCAGCATCCTTAACTCAATTGTATTTTTAAAGTGTGTTTTGCCATGTAAGGTAACATATTCCTAGATTCTAGAGATTAGAATATGGACATCTTTGCTGGTGGGGCAGGGAGACATTATTCAACCCATCACATTTGGAAAGCTTTATCTAATTGTCCATGTTTTAAACATGGTGGCTTGGGTTTCCTTTAGTACCAGGGTACAATGAGAATGAAACAAAAACCTCTTTGAGTGTAACCAAAACAGGGTGCCCAGAAGTGGTGTATGGTCTCCATAGTACTTCATTGAGTAACACTGCTCTTCTCTACTCTCAGAGCTTTCATTCAGGTGAAATCATGGTAAAACATCAGGGGCTGCCATAAGGAGAAAAGATGCAGTGGCATTTGTCTGTGAAGGGGATCATGGATTCAGGGATATGTGTTCAAGTGAGGAGGAGGTAATGTCCCCTTGACATATTGAATGTATTAATATATGTAAATACATGAGCTCCTCTGGCTCCATTTGGCACAAAATGGCAACTCCCCTTAATTTGTTATAAAAATAGTTCTAACCACATAGTATAGTTTACTTTGTAATATAATACATTTCATTTCAGAATAAGACAGGTGTAAAGATCTATATAAATTAGGGGTTTCTCAAATCTAGAGTAGGAGAGGTCTTTAATATTAACTCACATTTTGCCACATTTTACACACTGACAGCTTCTGAGCTCTGTCTCTCATTAGCTGCCATGTTGATTTGGAGCTGTTGCTTGGTAGCACTGCCTGCCAGCGGCCCTAAGGGGAGGCATTCTGGTTTTACAGTCAAATGAGTAAAAGAATAGAACATAAACTTGTCTCATGCACCAGAGTAGATGAGACAGTAAATTGTTTTGATTTTGTTTTTGTTGTTAATTACCAGGCTTGTATCTCTGGGAGCACATTTTTGAAGGCTTACTTGATCCCAGCGATGTGACTGCTCAATGGAGAGAAGGAAAGTCAATCGTAGGAAGAACACAATACAGGTATTAGTTGTATTAGTTTGTGCAACATTAACCTTTGGTGTTTTGCTCTACAATATTTTATGTGAATACTAAAAGAAAAATAATAGGAAAATATATTTGTAAAAATATTTCTATTTCAACTTGTAAAGAACAGAGAAGTAAATCTCATGAATATGTATTCATAATTAAGCTTACTTGGACCTTATGAAATTGTATATTACAGAATACTCCTTTTTTGGAATCATATGTCTGTTTTATTTTTATCTAATTATATGGAAAAGTTCATACTCCACATCTTACAGCATTTGAATGGTGACAGCCATTTTAAAACATTTTGTATCTTGGAGGAATAATATGTAAACCTAAAAGTATTTTCATTTTTCTCTTTCATATAATAGTCATGTTCACTTTCTTAAATATTTAGATATCAAAGCTCTTGCTCTCACTTTTTTAGATTTTTGTTTATTAAAACAAATTTGATGAGTTCTATCAGGATTTATTTTTTATTTTAGATTATTTATTTTTTATTTTAGATTTAATAAAACCAATGTATTGCTTAGACTTTTTTGGCCTTTTTATATAACTCTTATCTATGACTGCATATTTTCTGAGTGTTTTTAAGTATATTAGGATTGTTTTATTTAGGGAAACTATAATTTTATCATATGAAATGCTATTTTATTAGATTTTGCTTTCTTATTGAAATTAAAAATAAAAAATTATTTTTAAATGCTTATTTTATATAACAGTTGTATTATTAGGGGGAAAATGTGAACTAAAGATTCCGCTTTCTATTGGAATTTCATTCTTTTCTACAGAAATCAGGAAAGGAAAAGCTGCATCAATTTTGTTCTAATTTTTACTACAGCTTTAATTCTTTATATACACTTGGAAAGCAATTTTATTACATGTATCTTTTCAAAGTTATCCTTAACAAGTAAACAGGTTTTTAAAATTATCGTTGGTAATGATTATTTTTCCTTTCATCTTCATGCTTCTGTTGATCTAATCCCATTCAAGAGCTTAAGTATAGACCTAAACTTACAATGGTTGGATTTGGGTGTTTGAAAGTAAATGTGTATTATGTGTATAAATCTAATATTTTGGTATTTGAAAAGTAAATGTGTGTTATATTAGTCTAATCCATAATATATAACATTTTCAGAAAAGTTATTAAAAAATTCATGAAGACGTTAGCATCTTTAAGGTTAAAATTAAGGTTAAAATTATACATTGTTGCTATAATAATAGTGACAGATTTGAGCAAATAACATTAACTCCCAAAAGAAAGCCAAATGTATCCTTTACTTCTGAAATATTTGAGGTAGATTTTATAGGCATACTTTAGAGCTGTTGGGTGTTCAGTTCCACAGCACTGCAGTAAAGCAAATATTGCATTAAATCAAGTCATATGAATTTTTTGATTATCCAGTGCATATGAAAGTTTTGTTTACACTGTACTGTAGTCTGTTAAGTGTGTAATAGTATTATGCCTAAAAAAAAAAAAAGTACCTTAAGTGAAAAATACTTTATTGCTAAAAAATGCTAACAGTTATCTGAACCATCAGCAAGTCATCATCTTTTTGCTGGTGGAGGGTCTTGCCTCGATGTTGATGTATCAGGGTGTTGATGACTAATCAGGGTGGTGGTTGCTGAAGGTTGGGGTGGCCGTGGCAATTTCTTAAAATACGACAACAATGAAGTTTGCCACATCCGTTGACTCTTCATTCACAGAAGTTTTCTCTGTAGCACATGATGCTATTTGGTGGCATTTTTACCCATAGAACTTCTTTCAAAATTGGAGTCAATCCTAGGCCGGACACAGTGGCTCATGCCTGTAATCCCAGTACTTTGGGAGGCTGAGGTGGGTGGATCACTTGAGGTCAGGAGTTCGAGACCAGCCTGGCTATCATCGTGAAACCCCATCTCTACTAAAAATACAAAAATTGGCTGGGAGTGGCAGCACACACCTGTAATCCCAGCTACTTGGGAGGCTGAGGCAAAAGTATCCTTGAACCTGGGAGTCAGAGGGTGCAGTGAGGTAAGATCATGCCACTGCACTCCAACCCCAGGCGACAGAATGAGACTCTGTCTCAAAAAAAAAAAGTTAAAATTGGAGTCAGTCCTCTCAAACCCTGCTGCTGCTTTATCAACTACATTTTTTGAATATTCTGAATCCTTTATTGTCACTTCACCAGTGTTCACCATATTGTATCCTCACCGGAAGTAGATTCCATCTCAGGAAACCACTTTCTTTGCTCATTCATAAAAAGCAGCTCCTCATGTGTTGAAGTTTTATCATGAGATTGCAACAATTCAGTCACACCTTCAGGTTCCACTTCTAATTCTACTTTTTTTGCCATTTCTGCCACATCTGCAGTGACTTCCTCCCCTTAAATCTTGAACCCCTCAAAGTCATCCATGAGGGTTTAAATCAGCTTCTTCCAAACTCCTTATAATGTTGGTGTTTTGACCTCGTCCCATGAATCATGAATGTTCATGGTATCCAGAATAATGAATCATTTCCAGAAGGTTTTCATTTACTTTGCCCGGATCCATCAGAGGAACTACTGTCTGTGGCAGCTATAGCCTTATGAAAGTATTTCTTTTGTTGTTGTTGTTGTTGTTGTTTTGAGACAGAATCTCGTTCTGTCACCCAGGCTGGAGGGCAGTGTCGTAATAGCTTGCTGCAACCTCCGCCTCCCAGGTTCAAGTGATTCTCGTGCTTCAACATCCCAAGTAGCTGGGACTATGGGCACACGCCACCACACCCAGCTAATTTTTGTATTTTTAGTAGAGATGGGGTTTTACCATGTTGGCCAGGCTGGTCTTGGACTCCTGTCTCCAAGTGATCCACATGCTTCAGCTTCCCAAAGTGCTAGGATTACAGGCGTGAGCCATTGTGTCTGGCCAGAAAGTATTTCTTAAATAAGACCTGAAAGTCAAAATTACTCCTTGATCCATGGGCTGCAGAATGGATATTTTGTTAGCAGGTATGAGGGCATGAATCTGTCCGTCTCCATCAGATCTCTTGGGTGACCAGGTGCATTGTCAATGAGCAGTAATATTTTGAAAGGAATCCTTTTTTCTGAGCAGTACTTCTCAATAGTAAGCTTAAAATATTCAGTAAACCATGGTGTGAACAGATGTTGCTGTCATCTAGGCTTTGTTCCATTTATAGGGCACAGGCAGAGTAGATTTAGGATAGTTCTTAAAGGTCCTAGGATTTTCAGAATAATAAATGAGCACTGGCTTCAGCTTTAAGCCACCAGCTACATTTAGCCCCTAATAAGAGAATCAGCCTGTCTTTTGAAGCTTTGAAGCCAGGCATTGACTTCTCTCTAACTATGAAAGTCCTGGATGCCATCTTCTGCTGATATAAAGCTGTTTCATCTGCATTGAAAATCTGTTGTCTAGTGTAGCCACCTTCAGCAATGAAGATCTTAGCTAGATCTTCTGGATAACTTGCTGCAGCTTCTACATTAGCACTTGCTGCTTCACCTTACATTTGTATGTTATGGAGATGGCTTCTTTCCTTAAACCTCATGAATCAACCTCTGGTAATGTCAGACTTTTCTCCTGCAGCTTCCTCACCTTTCTCAACCTTCATAGAATTGAAAAGAGTGGAGGCCTTGCTCTGGATTAGGCTTTGGCTTTAGGGAATGTTGTGGCTGGTTTGATCCTCTATCCAGACTATTAAACATTTCTCCATATGAGCAGTAAGACTATATCACCTTCACATCATTCATGTTGTTCACTGGAGTAGCACTTCTCATTTCCTTCAATAACTTTTCCTTTGCATTCCCACCTTGGCTGTTTGGCACAAGAGGCCTAGCTTTCAGCTTGCTTTAGCTTTTGACATGCCTTCCTCACTAAGCTTAATTATTTCTAGCTTTTGGTTGCAAGCTTCTCCAACCCACTTTATTTTATTGTTGTTGTTGTTCTGTTTTGTTTTGTCTTAGGCTTTTAGCAGCCTGAAGCCATGGCTTTTAGTTTCTGTCTTTAGTAATAAGCAGAAAAGAGGGATAAGAAAGGGGCTTTACTGACCCAACCAGAAACAGAAACTATGAATCCATGCCTATATTCTCTCCCTCGGACACTCCTGAAAGTGAGAGACTTGCGACTGTTCCTTTCACCTAGAGGGTATTACAGGGTTATTAATTATAGGGAACACTTAGAGGGTATTATAGGGTTATTAATTGGCCTAATAGTGTTGTGTCTCAGGGAATAGGGAGGCCCAAGGAGATGGAGAGAAACGGGGGAATACTGGTTGGTGGAGCAGTTAGACCACACACACAGCATTTATCTATTAAGTTTGCCATCAGATCTTGTGAGCTTATTCACTATCATGAGAACAGTACAAGAAAGACCTGCCCCCATGATTCAGTTACTTCCCACTGGGCACCTCCCACAACATGTGGGAATTGTGGGCACTACAATTCCAGATGAGATTTGGGTGGGGACACAGCCAAACCATATCTCATAGTGAGCACATGCTGTTGGAAAATGGTACCAATAGAATTGCTTGACTGGGGATCACCACAAACTTGCAATTTGTAAAAAAACTTTATTTGCAAAGTACAATAAAGTGTAGCACAATAAAATAAGGTGTGCTGGTATTACGGCCAAAGAGTAATACCGTTTCCTCTTAGGATTTAAGAGAACTATATTCAAGAAAGGCCTCCATTGTATGAGGTATTTTTAAACAGCTTATTAAAGTGTTAGGTTCGTGAAAAATAGCGTACATAATTTATCCAAAATTAATAAGCTTTTATGCATTCTTGAGTTGAATCAGCTACATGGGTACTAACTTAAGTGTTTCCACACATTCACCATCCTTATTTGACCAAAAGTGAATCAGAAGTAATGGCTCACCTTGAAGATATTGGAAGAATTTCTAAGTACTGTTAAGATACTTGTTGAAAATAAGTGTAAATATATTTTGTTTAAATAAACAAATGAGCTTATATCATTTAATTGTAGCCTCGAGACAATTCTAAGACAGAAGTAGAAAGGATATC